AGGCACCCATGTGGGGGGGAGGTGGCATCTGTAGGCACCCGGGGGGGCGGGAGGGCTCTGATTAGAGCTCCAGTACAGAGCACCATTGCTATTGACCAGCAGCAACCATCTAGCATCACTGCTCTTCTCTTGCAGGTTATTATGGTGACTGGTGATCACCCCATCACAGCAAAGGCCATTGCCAAAGGCGTGGGCATCATCTCTGAGGGCAACGAGACTGTGGAGGACATCGCTGCCAGGCTCAACATTCCCGTCAACCAGGTGAACCCCAGGTATGTTACAGGTCAGGTTCGCTGGGTGAAGATGTATCCATGGGGTGGTGAGACGATCCCAGGCGTGTGCCATTTTTCTGGTTTAATTGTTGACGCTCCTCTCCTCCAGAGACGCCAAGGCCTGTGTGATCCACGGCTCGGATCTGAAGGACATGTCTGCAGAGCAGATCGATGACATTCTGCGGCACCACACTGAGATCGTCTTTGCCAGAACCTCCCCTCAGCAGAAGCTGATCATTGTGGAAGGTTGTCAGAGACAGGTGAGATGGATTTTCTGTCCCGGTTACGGAATGTAATATGCGGCTCTGCCGGGCAGCTCCTGACGCGTCTCCTTATTCCAGGGCGCCATTGTGGCTGTGACTGGTGACGGTGTCAATGACTCCCCTGCCTTGAAGAAAGCTGATATTGGTATTGCTATGGGTATCGCCGGCTCTGATGTATCTAAGCAGGCAGCCGACATGATTCTGCTGGATGACAACTTTGCCTCCATTGTCACCGGTGTGGAAGAAGGTGAGTCTCCGTTCTGTGGTGTGATTACATAGACGGTATGTGCTTAGACCTTGTAGTATGGCCGCCCTTAGACCTTGTAGCATGGCCGGCCTTAGACCTTGTAGCATGGCTATCCTTAGCCCTTGTAGCATGGCCGCCCTTAGCCCTTGAATCATGGCCGCCCTTAGCCCTTGAATCATGGCCGCCCTTAGCCCTTGTAGCATGGCCGCCCTTAGCCCTTGTAGCATGGCCGCCCTTAGCCCTTGTAGCATGGCCGCCCTTAGCCCTTGTAGCATGGCCGCCCTTAGCCCTTGTAGCATGGCCGCCCTTAGCCCTTGTAGCATGGCCGCCCTTAGCCCTTGTAGCATGGCCGCCCTTAGCCCTTGTAGCATGGCCGCCCATTGACCTTGTATGACGGCTCTCTTCCAGGACGTCTGATCTTTGATAACCTGAAGAAATCTATTGCGTACACCCTGACCAGTAACATCCCCGAGATCACCCCCTTCCTCATCTTCATCATCGCCAACATCCCTCTGCCGCTGGGTACTGTCACCATCCTGTGTATTGATTTGGGCACAGACATGGTAAGTGTTGGGTGGGCCAAGGACCTGGGAGGGGGTTTCTATAATACACAGCGAGCATCTCCTCACCGTACCTCTCTCCTGCCCAGGTCCCCGCCATCTCCCTGGCTTATGAACAAGCGGAAAGTGACATCATGAAGAGGCAGCCCAGGAACCCCAAAACAGACAAACTGGTGAACGAGCGGCTGATCAGTATGGCGTACGGGCAGATTGGTGAGTCTTGTCATTATGACATGGGGGCAGATTGGTGAGTCTTGTCATTATGACATGGGGGCAGATTGGGGAGTCTTGTCATTATGACATGGGGGCAGATTGGTGAGTCTTGTCATTATGACATGGGGGCAGATTGGGGAGCGGCTGGGGTCGGTATGGCATAGGGGCCGATTGGGGAGCGGCAGCCTGGGGCAATATAGGGGAAACAGGGAATATGAAGGTGTTCTATAGGGAGCATGCATGCATGGTCTTGCTGGGGGAACGGGGGAGGGTAACAGACGGGTCTGCATGCTCTAGCACAGTCTATGCCAACAAATGGCCTTCATATTGGCCATGGGAGGGTCCTGTAGTCCTTGCTGGATGCATTCTGCCCTCTCTGCAGTCATTGCTCTGTACATATCAATGACCCCCCCGCTCTCCTATTCCTCAGGTATGATCCAAGCTCTGGGTGGGTTCTTCACCTATTTCGTCATCTTGGCGGAGAATGGCTTCCTGCCCTCAACGCTGCTCGGCATCCGTGTGAACTGGGACGACCGATGGACCAATGATGTAGAA